AGGGGATGGGTTGCTGAGACAGGGTCTCATCTATGTAGCCCAGGCTGGCCTTCAACTTGAAGTGATCCTCTTGCCTCAGCTTCCGGAGTGCTGGGATTACAGACATGCACCACCATGCTAGACAAAATTTTTATTGAGGAAAAACGTGAAGAGGATAAATCACTGTGGTGGAGTTTCTCAAGATGAACAACACATCCATGTGACAAGCACCCAGGTCAAACTTCAGAATGGCTCTAATCCTGGAAGCCAGTCACATCGCTGACTCCTGTCCCAAGGCTTCCCTGGTTTTATCTCTTTCTGTGGTACCTGGGATTGAATCCAGGGTTTTTGCACTGAACTACATCCCCAGACCTTTTCAAATATATATATATTTTTTTGAGACAGGGATTCACTATGTAGTTCAGCCCAGCCTTCAACTCACTATATAGCCCAGGCTATCCTCAAATTTAAGGCAATCTTCCTGCCTCAGCCTCCTGAGCGCTGGGATTATGGGCATTCACTACCACGCCTACCATGAGATTTTTAAAAAGAAAGAAAGAAGAAATGAAAGAAAAAAGAAAGAATGAAGAACCTGAAGCAGAATAGCATAAATCCAGAAATCTGACCAGGCCAGGCATCATAGATTAAAAAAAATTTTTTTTAATTAAAAAAATAAAAAAGCAGGATGCAATGGCCAGGAGGCTGAGGCAGAAGGATCACAAATTCAAGGCTAGCCTGGGCAACTTAGCAAGATCATCTCAAAATAAAAAATGAAAATAGGGCCGGGGATTTAGCTCAGTGGTTTCGAGTCCTGCTGCACAAGCACAAGGACCAGAGTTCAATCCCTGGTACAAAAAAAAAAAAAGAAAAAAAAAAGAAAGAAAATGGTTGGGGTTGTAACTCAGCGGTAGAGGGCTTGCCTAGCATGCAGGATCCCCTGGATTGATCCCCCACCCTAGGACAGGGGTTAGTGGGGAAGGAAGACGCAAAATTGTATTTTTTTTTTTTTTGGTACCAGGGATGGAACTTGGGTCCTTGCGCTTGCGAGGCAGGCAGCGGAACCACTGAGCTAAATCCCCAGCCCTAAATTGTATTTACTATATGATCTTCATTATGTAAATTTGTTGATGTATAGAAAAAAAGTTGTAAGAATATACAGTAAGATGGTGACAATAATTTATATCTCATGGTAAGAAATAAGTGTTTTTTTCTTTTTTTTTTGGTACCAGGGATCGAACTCAGGTCCTTACACTTGTGAGGCAGGCCCTCTTTTTCTTTTTTGATGGTAGCAAAGTTTATTTGAAAAAATAAGTGAAGAGTGAGGGAGAAACTGGCTTGCAGAGCCAGCTTGGGGCTGGTCAGAATAAAAGAGGAAAAGGCAGGATGAAGGTACACCGCGCAGTATGCAGGGTAGCCAGTCATGAGGAAGCCACAATACCTTTATTTTCTTCATTGTCTTCTCAAGTAGTGTACAAATTTCTCACAGTAAGCATGCTCACCCTCCTTTCATAATCATAAAAAAACGAGTTCTGATAATATAACTCATGGCCAAGAGACTCAACTTGTTCATCTCTTCCTCTGGAAGCTCTTGGGCTTTTCAGCCAACTTTGGCAAAAAGGCTTTGCCTGTTGGAAAAGTCGCAGCCAGGGCACATATTTCTCTGGCACAGAGTTTGGCTTCCTAAAGTGCCATAGATCTTTCTGCCTTCTGTTTACCCATCAAGAGCCATACACCTTAAGCTGCTTCCCCGCACTAGCTGTCATCTGGCCTGGCCTGGTGTTTATCCTTCATTAGCAGAAAGGGCACAGCCAAGGCAGATGGCAGGCAGCATGCACCTCTCCGTGCCACCCATCTTTATGCTCTTCTCACCAGATAAAGAAAAGCACTCCCTTGGTTGAGACAAGAAACAGCCAGGGCTCCAAGCAACTTTCTTAGGTCTATGTAAGCCCACAACTTTTATTTTTATTATTATTATATTTTTGGTGGTGGTGCGAGGCTGACCCAGGGCCTGCCTCATGCATTCTAGGCAAGAGCTCTGCCACTGGGAACATCCCCAAGCTGTGAACCTACAATTCTTTTAGTAAGTTGTGGGAAAAAAATGGCAGAGGATGGGGGTATAGCTCCATGTGGAGTGCTGCCTAGCATGTGGAAAGCTTTGGTTGGATCGCCAGAACTTTGTAAAAAACAAAAAGTCAAAATTAAGTTTGATCTCAATTTTGGACTCAAGGCAGATTTTGTAGTATGTCTTAACCTCTCTTTTCCTTGAGTGGAAAATGAAGGTGTGACAAAACTGAACACCAATTAATTTCTTTTTCCTGCAGTGTTGGGGACTGAACCTGAGGCCTGGCACATGCTAGACAAGCCCAATACCACTGAACTACATCCCTCAAACTCAGATAATAAGGTATCCAGGTTGTCCCTGACCAAGTGTGTGTGGTGCTAGATATACAAACCAAGGGTACTCTATCACTAAGCTGTATCTCCAGCCCTCTTTTATTTTTTATTTTGAGACAGGATCTTGCTAAATTGCCCTGGCTGGGCTCCAACTTGTGATATTCCTGCCTCAGCCTCCCCAGTGCTTAGATTAGAGGAATGCACTATCTGGTCCACTACCTGACTCTTTTTTTTTGGTACTGGAGATCGAACTCAGGTCCTTGTGCTTGCACAGCAGGTGGCGAAACCACTAACCTAAATCCCCAGCCCTGATTCTTTTTTTTTTTTTTCTGACTCTTAAATGTTAGTGTCCCTGACCCCAGATCTTAAGTAACCAAAGAATACTAGCTGATGCTTTGGGGTTGTGACCTGTCCCCAGATGTTCTATCCCCACCTCCAAACACACACTCACCTGTGAACTAAGCAAGAACAACACATACATAGAAAAGATGATGACTTCTGGAGACTTATGAGTTTGAAGCCAGCCTGAGCTACATAGTGAGTTCAAAACTAGCCTAAAAGTACATAGTGAGACCCTGTCTCAAAAAACCAACCAAATAGGGCCGGGGATTTAGCTCAGCGGTTTCGCCGCCTGCTGCGCAAGCACAAGGACCCGAGTTCAATCCCCGGTACCAAAAAAACCCCAACAAAACAAAAAACCAACCAAATGGGCTGAGGATTTAGCTCAGTGGTTCTGCTGCCTGCCTCGAAAGTGCAAGGTCCTGAGTTTGATCCACGGTACCAAAAACAAAAAGCCACCAAAAAACCCCCAAAATAACCAACCAACCAACCAAACAAACAAACAAAAAAACAGTAGAACATGGTATATTCACAGAGTGATTAAAAAAATATGGTGAATGCTGCTGCTCAGTGCCATCCAATGGAAACATAGGGATCTTTAGTATGAGAAGTGACACATCACAATGTGTGACAAGTGTCAATTTGTTGGGTGTCATCAGTTGATTGTGAGTTATAATTGAGAGAAGGTATGATTTAAACTGTGTCATAAATCATGGATCACAATAATGTGAAATTTTGTCAATTTCAATGGAGTTGTGCAATTGTGCCGCTTCAATTCCAGCTTTTTAAAAAATGTTATCATGGACTGGGGATTTAGCTCAGTGGTTCTGCTGCCTGCCTTGCAAGCACAAGGTCCCGAGTTGGATCCCCAGTACAAAAAAAAAATGTTATCATGGAGCTGCATGTGGTGGCATACGCCTGTAATTCCAGCACTCTGGAGGCTGAGGCAGGATTGACAAGAGTTTGAGGGCAGCCTAGGTTACATAGTGAGTTCAAGGCCAGGCTGAAACAATAACAAGAAAAATATCATCACGGGAGATGAAACTTGGTTCTATGTTTATGATTCTGAGACCAAGGTTCAGAGTTCTCAATGGAAATCACCCAGTTTTCCTGAGTGGGGAAAAAAGCCCCACATCAATCAAGATCCTGAGAAAGGAGACCACCCCTCCATATGAAATTGGGCAACTACGGTTAACTGTGTTATTAGGCAACTATGGGTTAACTAGGTAACTATGCTCTTTGTAGAATGTACCTGAGTAGCCGACAACTTCTGTAACCTGTCACCAAAGGAGCATAACCGACTCAGAAAGTCCTGCCAGAACTCTTTGCTCTCCCCCTTGCCACAGCTCTGCTTTGTATAAATCCTGCTTGCTATATTCCCAGGGAAGCTCCAATAGAATTAAGCCTCATATATGTAAAAAGAAGTATATAAGGAAGTGCAGGGGCCAGAGATTTAGCTCAGTGGGCACCGTGCCTGCCTCGAAAGCGCAAGGTTCTGAGTTCCACCCCCAGTACCAAGAGAGAAAAAAAAGGAAGTGCAAACAAACTTCTATTCAGGGCTCTTAAGACTGACAGGGGTCACTTGCTGAGCCACTAGCATCATTAAAAGCCGCTTTTGGTCCTACTTTCAAGTTAAAACAGTTATCTGTGCTGGGGTCCTCACTGTTTCCTGCTTCAATATCACTGGATTGTATTTTTTTTACTTTAATGGACTACTGAGAGCTGAGTTTGTACCAGGAACACTATGGTGAACTCTGAATATTATAGGTGCATATCAGAGCATTTAAGAAATGATGTGCACAGAAAACGGGCTGAGGAATGATAAATGCTCTCATGCTCCATCATGACAATGCTTCATGTCATATATCACTCTGGTATGGCAATTTCTGTCAAATAAAAACACTATGGCTGGGCATGATGGTGCACACCTGTAATCCTAGGATTTGGGAGGCTGAGGCAGGAGGATCACTGCAAGTTCAAGGCCAGCCTGGGGTACATAGTGAGTTCAAGATCAGCCTAAACTAATAGCGAAACCCTGTCACAAATAAACAAACATTATGGTGTGTCCTCACCTAACTTTATTATTATTTATTTATTTATTTATTTTTTTGGTACCAGGGGCTGAACTCAGGACCTTGTGTTTGGGAGGCAGGCAGCGGAAACATTGAGCTAAATTCCCAGACCTCTTTTTGATTTTTGAGACAGTTTAGTATGTAGTTCACGCTGGCCTTGAACTTTCACTATGTAGCCCAGGCTGACCTTGAACTTACTATATATGTCCCCTCAATTCAAACACACTTAACCTAGGCCAGGGATTTTGCTCAGTGGCACCGTGCCTGCCTGGTAAGCACAAGGTCCTGAGTTCGATTCCTGGTACAGGGGATAAAACAAACACACTTAACCCATTAATCTTTTGACTTTCTGAAGCAATTCTGGAAATTCTTTTTCTCATCTTTCCTTGCATGATCATGGCTGCGGCATGTCTGGAATTGATTCAATTCACTAAACTGCTCACTCATTTCACAGTCATTCTGACTTTAGGGAAGAGCCAGAAGTCACACAGTGCCAGATCCAGTCAGTAAGATAGATGAGAAGCTGGAGGTACATGCCTGTAATCTCAGCACTCCAGAAGCTGAGGCAGGATGATTGCTGTGCATCAGAGGGCAGGTTGGGCTATTTGTCTCAAAACACTAAAAGAAAATAAAATGAAATAAAATCTAAATGCAACAGTATGTACCATATGTGTCCATTTACATGTGATTCTAGAAAATGTAAACTCACACATATCGATCCAAAGCAGATCAGTAGTTCTTTGGGTTCAGGTGCAGATAGAAGGGTGGTGGATTGCAGAGGAGAAGAAAGAATTTTATAGGGGTGATAGAAATGTTCTGGATCTTGACAACACTGGTGATTTTACAGGTACATAGAGGTTTTAAAATTCAGCAAATTGCTGGGTGTGGGTGGTGTGTAATCCTGGCACTCTGGGAAACTGAGGCAGGAGGATCTCAAATTTAAGCCCACCTTGGCCAAGTTAGTGACTCAGCAGGATCCTGTTAAAAAAAATAAATAAATAAATAAATAAAAAAGGACTGGATATGTGGCCCAGTGGAAAGCCCTGGGTTCTTTTTTTTTTTTTTTTTTTTTTTTTTTTGGTACCAGGGATCGAACTCTGGACCTTGCACTTGAGAGGCAGGGGCCGGAACTACTGAGCTAAATCCCCAGCCCTGAAAAGCCCTGGGTTAAATCCCAGGAACTGAAAGGAAAACAATACAAAAAGAAACAAAAAAAATTCATCAAGTTGTATACTTAAATTGGTGTAGTTCATTGTACATAAAATACAATTCAATAAATTTTTAGGTTTTAAAATTTTTTCTTTACATATTAAAAATTTTCCATTCCAACAATTAAAATCTTCTTTTGTTTTGAGACAAGGTCTCAGTATGTCGTTCAGGCTGGCCTGGAACTCACGGTGTAGCCAAGGCTAGCCTAACTTGGGTTGATCTACCTGCCTTAGCCTCCTGAGTTTGGGGATCACAGGTATGTACCACCATACCCAGCAAATTAAAATCTTATTTTGTTTGTACTAGGGGTCGAACTCAGGACCTTAAACTTGCCAGGTAGGAGCAGTGCCACTGATCTACATTCCCAGCCCTAAAATCATTTTAAACAGCAATAAAAGGAGACTCTGATTTGAAGCTCCAGGATGCTTTGGATCATCTTGGATTATACCATAGACTCAACCTTCATCCCACCCAGCTTCTTCTCACACTAGTCTGAATTCTTCTTCTTTTTTTTTTTTTTGGTACCGGGTACCGAACTTGGGACCTTGTGCTTTCCAGGCAGGCTCCAGAACTGCTGAACTAGATCCCTGGCCCTAAAGCCTGAATTCTTTTCCTTTCCTGACAGACAGGTAGGTGGGAGAGGCAGTCACAATCTTTGTCTTCAGTAGTTCTTCATTCTTTGATAGGAAAAGGACAGCACAGTCATTTACACTTAATCTTACTTCTTTTTTTTGTTTTTGTTTTTTTGGTACCGTGGGATCAAACTTGGGTCCTTGCGCTTGCAAGGCAGGCAGCATAACCACTGAGCTAAATCCCTGACCCAATCCCACCTCTTTGCATCTTGCAAAGCTGAACAGCTAAAACAAGTACAATTAAGAAAACAGCGTTTGTGAAACACAGGGCATATATTGGTGGGACCCACATCATTACATTTCAGTTTCTTGGGCCAGGAATTTAGCTCAGTGGTTCTGCCACCTGCCTCGAAAGCGAAAGGTCCTGAGTTTGATCCCTGGTAAAAAAAAAAATTCAGTTTCTTGCCTCTGTTAAATCCTTTTCTTTCTTTTCTTTTTTCTTTCTCTCTCTCTCCCCCTTCCTTCCTTCCTTCTTTCTTTCCTTCCTTCCTTCTTTCTTTCTTTTTTTTTTTTTGTGTGGTACAGGGGATCAAACTCAAGACCTCGTGCTTACAAAGCAGGCGCGGGGCCACTGAGCTAAATTCCTGGCCTTCAATCATTTCTTTTGAAGGTGATGAATTTTTCCCTTGCATTTCTGTCTTCAATTCTTTTTGTTTTTTTGGTGCCGGGGATCAAACTCGGGACCTTTCGCTCTCGAGGTAGGAGGAACCACTGAGCTTTCGAGGCGGCGGAACCATGGAGCTAAATCCCCGGCCCCTCTGTCTTCAATTCTAATTCAGTGAATTTCTTTATCTCACTCCTATGGGGTTGGGGTTTGTCAGATGTGGTTGCAGACAAGCACAGTGAGGTACACAAGCCATCTGGGAAAATTAAGTTACTTTTTTAAAAAAAATTGTGATACTGGGGATTGAACCAGGGCCTTGCACATGCTCATGATTACACGGTGTATATAAAAACATCACCTAGAGCCGGGGATTTAGCTCAGTGGTTTCACCGCCTGCTGCGCAAGCGCAAGGACTCAAGTTCGATCCCCGGTACAAAAAAATAAATAAAATAAATAAATAAATAAAAACATCACCTAAACCGGATAACTATCTCAATGATAGCTGCTGCGCACCTGTAGACTCAAGTACTCTAGAGGCTGAGGCAGGAGGATCACTTAGGCCCATTAGGACCAGCCTGGGAAACATAGCGAGACACTATCTCAAAAACAAAGAAAACAAAATAATGATAGCTAACAGTTACTAATATTATAATGCTATTTTAAATATTTACAAAACTGGGCCGGGGATTTAGCTCAGTGGTTTTGCTGCCTGCTGCGTAAGCGCAAGGACCCGAGTTCGATCCCCGGTACCCCCCCCCAAAAATTAAATATTTAAAAAACTTTTGGCCAAAGAGAAAAAGCAACTTCCCCATAGACTCACGTAAAGGCAATCAATCCTGTACCTGGGAAACTCAGGTGAGGCAGTCTTTTTTCCCTCTAAGACCCGCCCCCAAGCTCCGCCCCTGCCCCCACGCCAGTCCGGGCCTAGTCCGGAAGTCCAAGTCTAGAAGACCAGCGGTGCTCTTGACGGGAGCGCTGACGAAGGGGGCGGGTCTGAGAAGCACAGTGTGCCGGGATAGGGCGATAGGTTCGCGCGGAAGGGGCGGGTCAGGTCAGGGGGCGGGGCTTATCGGGAGCTGCTCTTGGAGCTGGGATTCCGCGAGCGTTCGTCTGGCGAGCGAGAGCACGCGGCGGGGGCGTGTCCCACAGGTGGGGCGGGGCGAATGGGGGGGCGGTGCGGTGTGCGGCCTAACGGTGGTGGCGAAGGTGGCAGAGGCGGAGGGGGAGGAGGAGGCGTAGGAGGTGGTGGTGGCGGCGGAGACGCTGGTGTTGGCTAGCGGTACGCCTGCAATTCCCGGGAGGAACCCGGGCCGTGGGCCGAGGCGGGAGACTCTCTGCGATGGTGGGCGTCCCTGGAGCGGCCGCCTTCCAGCGTAAGCGGGGCCGGAAGGCGGGCGGCTGAGGGGGGCGTGTGAGGGGCCTGCAGTTCCATAGCGTACCTCGAGGCTCCTGTGAGGGCTCCCCGCCCCGCCACGACGCGAGGCCGGGCTGGGGAAACTGAGGCCCGCAGCAGGGCGGCAGATCCAAGGTCACGCGGTGGTCCGGGCCTTTGCGGGCCCAGGAGGCCACCCTGCTGCTTCCAATGGCGCCAGAGAGCTCGGGGCTCACGGTGTGGGGAAGCTGTGGGGACCGCGGCCTGGGAGTCCAGGCCGGGCGCGTGTCCACTGACGCGCCACGGACAAGTATTGTTTTGTTCTCGAGCTGGGACCACAAGTCTGGCTCGGAGAAACACTTAATACAGGAGCCCGCATTGGAGGGACGTGTGGTCGGTGTTGGGGAGGCGCGGGTGGCGCCTCGAGGGGCCTGAGAAGAGCGGCTCGGGGTGCTTGGGTTCGCGTCTCTCGGCTCCCCCACCTGATATCTGTGATCTTGGCTCTTCCCGAGTCTCTGTTACTGCGTCTGAAGAATGGGAATGTGAAGAGTTCCCTGCAGTCCTCTGGAGTTGCTGGGGTTACCGAGATCCGCACGAAGCTTGTTACTGAACCTGGCACGTACACAGGCGTGCAAACTGTCATTGTGATCGCAGTTTAGTTTCCTCCTTTGTGAGCCTTACTCGGAAAAGTACGAAATTGGGCTTAGGATTTTATTTTTCGTCGATTAATCCTACTCTAGGCGCCAATTGTTATTTTTACCTCCACTTCGACATTCCAGTATCTATCTTACGGTCCACCTAGAACTGTGAGATCCTTGGGAGGAGGGGTGACATCGCTTAATAAGAACAATAAAATTTTAATTGTTTTTCATTACAATAACAATAATAGCCAGCTTGTTTCTTTTTTTTAAATCACCAGATATTTTGCACTCTATTCATTTAATATGCATTAAGCCATCTCTTAGTAAAAACTACCGCTCTAGGCCCTGGGAATATAGCAGCAAACAAGCTAAGCTAGGCTCTGAGTTTTGAGTTTAGGTGGAAGAGGGAAGAAACTTAATAAGGAAACCAATAAATTTGTTTTGCATGTTTCTTATTTAAGCCTAGCAAAGTGTAAATACAAGTTAGGTATTTGAGAATGCCCATTTTACAGAAGATGAAACTGAGGACCATTAGGAACTCTGCTCTAAGAGAGATGTTCTTCAACATTTAAGGGAGGCTTTACACAGCCTTTCCTCTTTGTTTGGTACCCATTAAATGTTGAATTGAAGAAATACAAAGCAGATTCATCCAGTTAAAGCCTTTTCTCAGTTTGGCAGTTACTGCAGTCTTACAGTTTGATTCATTCCTATTGGAATTTATAACTAAAGAGAAGTAGTCAGGTGACCTTTTAGGTCTGGCAAAAGTGTACTCTTGGTAAAGTGAAAGGACATTTTATTTAAATTTAACCCCCTCCCCCCCATACTGGTGATTGAATCCAGGGTCTTTGCACTGAACTACATCCTCAGACTTTTGAAACCTGTTTCCCTGAGTTGCCAGGGCCATTGATCCTCCTGCCTCAGCCTTCCTCAGTGCTAAAATTCCAGATATGCACCACCATGTCCACCTGAATTTAAATTTTTCAGTTTAAAATACGCCCAAAAGTACAGCTACTTTTGCTTGTTATGTAACTAAGTTGTTTTTGTTTTTAGTTTTCCTAAGGGAATTCTATCTTAAAATTCTAAAACTGTGTCATTACTATAATCTTTCTTTTAATTTGGAGGAGTATAATAAATTGCATCCAAATGCAGTGGTATCTGAGCATTGGTGGTGCACCCCTGTAATCCCAGCACTCTGGGAATATGAGGCGGGAGGATCATAAATTTAAGTTCAGGGCCGGGATTTAACTCAGTGGTTTCACCGCCTGCTGAGCAAGTGCAAGGAACAGCGTTTGATCCCTGTAACCAAAAATAAATAAATGAATTTAAGTTCAACCTGGGCTATTTAATACCAAGATCCTGCCCTTTTTTTTGACAGTATGGGGAATTGAACTCAGGACCTTGCACTTTCTAGGCAGGTGGGGCGCTACTGAGCTACATCTCTGCCCCAAGATCCTGTCTTTTTTTTTTTTTTTTTGGTACCACGGCTCGAACTTGGGACCTTGGGCTTGTGAAGCAGGCAGCAGGCGGGGGTACCCCTGAGCTAAATCCCCAGCCAAGATCCTTTTTTAAAAAAGAGGTTCAGAACATAGCCTTGGATTTAATCCTCGGTACTCCTCTCCCTACCACACACAAAATGAAGTGGTACTGAAAAGATTTTTTTTTGGTAAGGGGGATGGATGAGAAAATTTTTTTTTCTTTTTTTTTTTTTTCTTGGTACCAGAGATCAAACTCAGGTCCTTGAGCTTTCGGGGCAGGCGGTGGAACCACTGAGCTAAATCCCCGGCCCTGAGAAGATTTTTTTTAACGAAGGCTGATATGCTACATTTAGGTTTAACACTGAGCATCTGCTGTGCACTGTAGATGCTTACCTAGTGTCTCTCTCCTTTCTTTTGGTTTTTTGAGACAAGTCTTGCTATATAGTTCAGTCTGACCTTGATAAACTATGTAGCTCAGGCTGGCCTTGAATTTATATCGATCCTCCTGCCTCAGCCTCCAGTCTGCTGGACTTTTAGGCATGCACTACCATGCCCAGCTTCTCTCTTTTTTTAACCTATAGTCTTGATTTGCAAGTGTTTTTAACTGTAGTGCTGGGGAGAGAGACCTAGGAAGGAGCTCAAACCTTGAATTGGAGTCCCTGGGGATGCAATCTAGAGCAGTGGCCTCAAGTATTCATTCCATCAGGAAATACAGTTTAGTATACACACACATTATAGGAATATTTGTTCAGCTGTACATTGTATTGCATTTTATAACTTGGGCAAAAATAGCCATTTTACAGAAGGATGAGCTAAAAATAAGTAGAAGTAGAGGTTCCAGTGTGGCCTTCTCACATCCTAGTATATGAATAGTAACTATTCCTCTTGGGGTAGAAATTACTGATTTTGTAGTGGGAACTTCCCCTCAATACATCAGGTCTGTTACTCTGAAAAAAAAAGTCTAGTTTATTCACAAGCAAAATGTGATGGTTTAGATTGAAATTTTAAATTTTGTGTGTGTGTGGTATTGGGGATTGAACACAGGACCGTGCACTTGCGAGGCAGGTTTAGTGCTATTAAGCTAAATCCCCAGCTTGAAATTCTGAAGTTTTTTTTCAATTTATTTTTTTGGTACTGGGGCTCGAACTCAGGACCTTGTACTTGCAAGGCAGGCAACAGAACCACTGAACTAAATCCGCAGCCCGCTTTTCTAAACTTTTGAAATTTACTTAAGGAGTTGTGCATACGTTGAAATCTGGTGGCCATTCCTTACAAGCTTTGATACTGGGCACATTACTTAACCTTTATTTTCCTCATCTGTAAAATTGAGATGATGAGAGTTTGTACTTCATTTGCAGTTTCATTCCATTGACAACTCTAAGTTATTATGAAGTGCATATTGTTTATGTAAAGTACTTAAATAGTGCTTGACACACTGTTTTGGATGCTGTAATGGTTGAGGATACTGAGATAACTTAGAATCTTTTAGTGTATAGGGGCCTCTGTACAGGTAAACTGGTAATGATAAAGTGCTTTAAGTGCTGTAAATAAATTTAGAGGAAGCATAATTTGTACTTCTTTGAGGGTCCAAGTAAGGACTAGGTAAAGAGGTGACATTCAGACCAGGCCTTAAAGAAGGAAAGGGGCTTTTTTCAGGAAGAGGAGGGGTGAAATTTACTGGCTGAGAGTACAGTGTGGAAATTTTGGAGGGTGTGGAGTGCTTGGCAAGAGCAGTTCTTCAGATTTAGATTTACAGGGAGCCTGAATGAAGCTTGTATACCTTGTTAATAGAGTAACAGTGAATTCAGGCTGGAATTGTGCCTGGCAAGGGCCAGATGGCAAGGAAGCCTGTTTCAGAACTTTTCACAGCATCACACTTATTTCCTCTCTGTGGTGTTTACCTTACTCTGCCTGTTTAGTTGTGTGAACATAAAAATTTCTTTCTTTCTTTTTTTTTGAGACAGGGTCTTACTATGTAGTTCAGGCTGACTTTGAACTTACTATATAGCCCAAACTGACCTTGAACTTGCAGTCCTCCTGCTTCAGCCTCCTGAGTGCTGGGAATACAGGTGTGTGCCACCACGGCTGGCCTAAACATGTAAATTTCTAAGGGGCTGAAGTTGTAGCTTAGTGGAAGGGCACTTGCCTACCAGGCTGAGAGTCTGGGGTTGGGTTTGTAGCCCCATGAAAGAAAGAAAGAAAGAAGCAAACAAACAAATCAAAACAGCAAAGCAGAAGAGAAGAGAGACTTAACTCCAGGTAAGCACACTAACAATTAGCAATTGGTGGTTCTTACTTATGTCACATTAATGCATTTAGGCCCCACCTCCAACTATTGGATCACAGGGAAAAAAGATTAAAAGCAGTATAATTGGGCTGGGGATTTAGCTCAGTTGCAGTACGCCTGCCTTGCAAGCTCAAGGTCCTGAGTTTGATCCATGGTACAGAAAAAAAGAAAAGCAGTATAATCTGGGACCAGTTATCCTTGAGATAAATGGCTTTATATGCTTCCAGCAGCTCTTGAGTTCATCACTGGGCAAGTAGTGTTCTTGCCACACAATTAGGATAATTAAAATTATAGTCAGAAACCTAGTTTAGTTTAAGGAGGCAGGGATATACATGAGCTAGGTTGTTTGACATAATGAAAAAGGCAGAACTTGGAGGATTTCAGCTTGAGGCCTGTTTGTACTGGGAAATTATTCAGCCTCTGAGATTTAGTGGTTTGTTTAATCTGTAAATGGCAATAATTCCTACTTGATAGCAATGATAACAATTGAATTTTTATTTTGGACTGGATACCAGGCCATGCATTATACTAGACTTTTTTTTTTTTTGGTACTGGGGATCGAACTCGGGACCTTGCGCTTGTGAGGCAGGCGCTGGAA